GTCTTCCAAATTCCCTCGCTAAGATCTAAAAGGCACACTATTGATTGAAGCAAGTGGCTTATCTAATATGGCGTCACTGTGTTGTCAAGACACAGTTCATTTACGTTTTATATAGAAATACACTCTTGAAGTATTTTACTGTAAACACGATATAAAAACCAACTTTAAAATAAAAAAAATAATGAATAGAATTATTAATTACCACTTATTTGTACTAGTAATAATAAAAATGAATCGATTTTTGACTTTTTAACCGTTAGAAGCAACGAGATTCTTTGTTGTTTTTTACGTCGAAGTGACATCTGAGGAGCGTATGTTATGAATGGATTTGACGATTGACGTCAATTGTCTCATGACAACTCCGGTCGCGTTTCAGACGCTCGAAAATGGTCGTGATTTTATTTTATTACTTTTAGCTCAATGGTTAAATGTTTTCGCGTCAATTTTTTTTTCTGGTTATTTTATAACAAGTAGAATCGTTTAAAAAAAGAAAAAAAATACGTGCATATTCTTATTCTAGTTAGGAGTTAGGTCTGCGTGGCAGCCGAATAGCTAACTTGATATGATAAGCGCGTATATATTTATTGTTTGTTAATTGTACATACACTTACTTGCGTGTAGAATTTTGGGGAATAACGTAGTAAAGAGTTCCGACAGGTCAGTGCTTGGTGCGTGCAAGCATTAGACTTAGTATCAGTACCGGCAGAGATATTACTACACTACACACGAAATATTATATACACCCGGCAGCTTCATGCGTCAAATTAATGTTCGGTTCGAGCCGCGTGCGCCTCTAACACTGATTGTACTGTAGTAGAGGGGGCAGGAAGAGGGCGCGGGCACAGGCAGCTCCTCCTCCCCTGCTATTTTTAGATTTTTGAGTGTTTACTCAGATGCGTATAACTATCGAAAGTTCGAAAACCTGCTTCATGATGGCAATCATTTCTTAGTTATTATTATCCCTGACCTTTAACATCACTTACTCACTTATGTATGTCCTCTTCTATTACCCGGAAAGGATAATCTGCTATCTGCATAAGACACCTAATTTATTTATTTCTAATATAAATACGATAGTCGGTGGTTCAGGGGTCTAAGAACTTGACTTGTAATCTACAGGTCCTGGGTTTGAATTTCATGTGTATCTACATAATTTATTCGAAGTTTTACGGTGAGGGAAAACAGGGTAATGAAACCCGCACATATCTGTGAATAAATTCATAGATATGTGTGAAGTCTACCAACCGCCAGGAGCCAGCGTGGTTGACTATGGCTTAGTCTAGTCACCCATAGTTTAGGTTAAGCTCCGAGTCCCTCAGTGGGGACTTGTAGTGTGCTGTGGATGATGATGAATAAAGTAGGTAACTGAGTTTATTGCTATTATATATATCGGATGGATAATTGACATCAAGCGTTTTAGCATTTGATAAATGGATGTAAAAGTCCGCTTCGGACGACACCGACTTCAAAGTAATAATGAATGTACAATATAGACATAGTTCTTTTAGTTTGGGCTCCGTAAACCAAGAAAGCAAACTTTGTTATAAATTGGCAACTTCTTCTGCGATTCGTAATTTTGTTCTTATATCTCCTAAACTATTGATCGGAATTAAATAGCTCAAAAGAAATTTATAATCTACATTAAATTCTCTTGATGATGGACATGTTTATTTGAATGATGATTCATACCGAACACGCGTTATAAGTGGGGTAGGTTTTTTAATGAAATTTGCCCGTGCCGCGCTGTGCCGCACTGTGCCGCGCTGCGCAGCTGACGAACGACTTTGTTTCAGAATAAAACAACTGGCAATGTTTCAATGGTTTACTTACATTACAATCAATTTGACGCAGTGACGCGGCTCGTCCCTCGTACACTGTAGCCGGTTATCGCCACTCACACATTGTAATTTATCATTCGATATCTTAATAGCTACAGTTTCATAAATTAGGCCTGAATTCGTGCACTCGTCAGACACACAGACAATCATATATGGCGACGACCAAATCTGTTCAATGTTATATTAAAAACATTAGATAAGAGGTGTCGAAGCGCGACGCTCCCGGAAGCGCGCCCGATAGCTGCTGGCG